GGACACCCATCCAGATACACCATGCAGAACTGTGAGTGCAGAGCTGAACCATGGCAAACAAACCCAGTGCAGGGCCAGGGCATGCTGCCTCTGCAGACCCAGCACACCACACCCAGACTTTGAACCTTCGAGTCATCAGGGTTGGCTCAAAGGGCATGTGGTGCCAGCAAGATCAGGCTTCCCTGGCAGCTGAGTGTAGTCCACAGCTTGCCCACATCAGCTGTGCCCAAGGGTGCACTATCTGTGTAGGTGGCCACAATCAGAACTCCAGGTGACACTGAGGACCTCTGCAATGTGCATCTTGGAAACAGTCAAGGGCAGTTTGGATGGGACTTTGAACAACCTGGTTTAGTGGGAGCTATCTCTGCCCATGGCAGGGCAGTTGGAACTGGATGGTCTTTGAGATCCCTCTAACCCAATGTATTCTGTGGTTCTGCAATGATCTTGCAAGCCCTACTGGCAAGTGCAGTATGAATCTGACTCACTTTTGGGCTGTTGTGATAACAAATATCTCTTTCTGTGGGCTGCAGTTTTCCCTATTTCAGGCTGATTTAACAAATTTTGGGTTAGGAGCACTTTGATGGGACATGGTCCCTGCTTAGACTTGGCCAGAGAAGTTCTCCATGTGCCTTGAAACCTGTGGCTCCTTTGGAAACCATGGCTTTCTTGGAGTCCATGGCATATTTGTGCTCTCTGTGATATGGTCATTTTCTTGTCCAGAGAGGGATTTACAGCTCACAGCAAAACTCAGCATAAGAAACACACCACTTCATTTTTGCTTCTTTGAAGCAAAGAAGCGATGAGCTTCTTTGAAGGAATCCAGCCCAGGAAACCAATTGACCTGTGGGAAAACAAACAAACAACCCATCAAATACACATGGATGTGTCTTTACTGAGTCTCATACAGCCATGGAGATGTGTGATGCTGGGTCCTAGACCATGAAAAGTTGCTGCACCCCTGCTCAACAGATGCACTGCAGAGTCCAGGACTATCCTGTGAATGCTTCATCCAGAGCCAAACCTCACTATGGCCAACTATAGAGAAACCTTCCTGAATCTGGACTCATCAGAAAGTGCAAGATTTAGGGCCTGCATATAGCATTCCTTCTTGCCAGGAACCCTTTGGTTTTAGTTTTGGTTTGAAGCAGTCTCCACTTTCCATGACAGTGTAGACAGTGCAGCAGCTAATCTCAGCCCAGAATGATCTATTTTCAGATAACAGAACTGATCATCTTTAATGACTTGCATGATGCCCTTAACCCTGCTGTTACAGCCCTTGTCTGCCTTGAAAGAGCTCTGTGTAAGGGCTTAAGCCATTTTATAGCAATTTAGCATAAGCCATTGGGCTATAGCACAGAAGTCCAGATGTTGACGATGGAGAGAGATGGGGAAGACTGATTTGGTGATCAGAATCTGATTTTATTGTGGGATACAGATGCTTATATACTATTTTAGGGGAGCCTAGTAATGTGTACTGCAGTGATTAGGTTAAAATCACATACACAAACTTATGCATATCTCAACATCTCTTGCTTGCAGAGTTTAATGAGATTTGCTTTTTCTGGTAAACCAGTCTGATTGAATCTTCTTGCAATCCAGGTCTAATTTTCAAAGTTCCATTTGCTTTTGCCAAGGCATCCTCTTATCAAATCACTTATGTTAACCAAGCCCAAAGACCTTCATCTGTGTTGTGTCTCCCAACATCCCAACATCTCCCCCTTTCCTTTCAACAAAAAACACTCATTTAATGGCCTTCATAATTAATCCATGCACAAATTGAAAAATATCATAATTAATACAATTATTATAAAAATTATCACATACATACCTATCCTGAAAATAATATTTTAGTTAAAAAACTCCAACCCTAAAAGGCTCAGGCTTAATCTTTATAAACTAAAAGATTCCTGATGGCAGCTGCAGGGGCAGAGGCATTACTGGATTTAGAAAGGCTGCCTAAAGTATAATTGCAGTAAAAGGTTTGATTCTTTTACACAGGGTGATAGGGAGAAACATTTTTAGACTGATTCCTATCTGTGCATTTAAAATCAAAACAAAAATCCAATTTCACAGAACCCAGGAACTCTAATTCTTGGGGTTCCAAGAGTTTCAGGATGGTAAGGGATCATATTTGATGTGACTTGATTTGCTTTCAAAATTTTTTGTGTAAATATTGGTGTAAAGTTTTGGAGGAGATATATCTGGACCTGCAGAAGGAGGAGATGAGGATCATGTCTGTTTCCAACCTCAAACCTGTTTGCAACTCAAACCTGCCCATTTCTTCTGAGCAGTGGGACCAGTGGTGGTGGACTTAGCCTGGGGACCTGACATGACTTTTGGAACACACTAATAGAGCTCTGTGGAAAATTTCCAGCCACTGGTGCCCCACAAAGTGTTGGTGTCCAGACAGTGATAAGGAGTTGTTCCTCCTCACCAAATTACAGACCATAAAAAATCAGGTGCCTGCCTAAGGCTGGAATTCGTTTGGATGCAGATATAACTGTACATTTTCTGGAACCTTCCTGTCTCTTTGGTGCCATCCACAGTAACTTCCAGACTGACAGTCCATTCTCAGACAGGAATGGGCCCCTTTCCCACAGAGCACCAAAAGGTTTCAAAAGGAAAAAAATCCCCCAAATCTTGAAATTGAGTGAAGGTCACAAATGCAAATTTTGCTCTGGGGAAAAAAAAAATTGAATTGCAAATTAATTGAGGAAGAAATTAATAATTATATAATTGTGAGATAAAGCATGGATTTCATCCAGAACTACTCCTTCACTTTGTAGAATGTACTTTGAGCTTTGCACAGTATGATAAAAGGAGAATTAGGCACTGTAGTTTCGCAGCAGACCTGATGACCAGGCTCCTAGGTGGAGTAAAATTGTGTTTGTTTATCATGTCGACCCTGCAGCTGCAGCTCATGTTGTATGCAGCTCTTGAGAGTTACAAAGTCTGTGTCTGTGGCATTTGGAAATGAAGCGTGAGCAGCAGGTTGAGGGAGGGGATTCTCTCACTCCATTCCACTTTTCTGAGACTCCCATTGGAGCAGGTCCAGAGGAGGCCACGGAGCTGCTCCAAGGGCTGGAGCTCCTCTGTTCTGGAGTCAGTCAGACCTGAGGGTGTTCAGCCTGGAGAAGGGAAGGCTCCAGGCAGACTTAGAGACTCTTCCAGTGCTATAGGGCCTCCAAGGGAGCTGGAGAGGGATTTTGGACAGGGGCCTGGAGGGAAAGGACAATGGAAATGGCTTCACCCTAACAGAGGGCAGGGTTAGATGGGATATTGGGCAGAAATTCTTGGCTGTGATGGTGGTGAGGCCCTGGCACAGGTTGCACAGAAAAACTGTGACTGCCACATCCTTGGACATGTCCAAGGCCAGATTTGAGGGGACTTTAATGATTCCATTAAAAGTGTGGCACCAGGTGTGAGCAGTGGTTCTTTCTGACCTGCATGATGCATTACAGGTTCAACCTCCTGCTTTGCCAAGAGTTGCAGTTTTTTCCCACTGCAAAATTCTTAGTGCCTACCCAGGTGCTTGCTACATGCAATCGCATTTCAGCTTTAAGGGGATTTAGGATCCTGTTAGATTATTGCACTTTTTTTCCCCATAGGAATTATTGGTACCATCATGACAGTGTTCTAAAAAAGGACAAGGATTTGCTTTGTCATGCAAAGCTTTGTAATCAGGGTGACTTATCACGAAAAAAAAATGCTACAAACATGATCTACTGATTTATCCTTAAGTGAAAGCAAACAGGAGGTATATGAAGGTCTTAGATGAGAGCATTCTATTCCATGTCTCTGACAGGCCTTAGCTGAGAGGAAGTGGAGAGAGCAGGTATCAGGTGGCTCCCAAAGGTGGACAAGATGTCTCAGAGCATGAGGGTGTGGATGCATATATATCACAGCTGAAGCTGAAGCTGAGCAGGGCATCTCCATCCTCATATGTTCCAGCCCTGGGTGGAAGATCTGAAATGAAGACCCAAAGTAGAACAAAATATACAAAACATTATGTCATCCATGAGCTGGGGAAGGCAAAGGACTTGGAGGAATCTTTGGGTTTTCTTCAGCTCAGTCTTTCCCTTCAAAAGCAATACCAAGGGTTCCAGAGGGACAGATGGAGAGGACACAGCTCTTCCCTGGCACACATCTGCTTTGCCAGGTGGCAGCTTGGTGGCCATCATCACTTCCCAGTACCTGCAGACACACAGCGTTGTTGGTTTGCACAAATGCTTTTGTTCTCTTGTTTCTATGCCAAAGGGAGGTATAAGGGAGGCAGGAGGTAGAGGTCAAACCTGGCCAAAGTCCCAAGTCCCAAACACTGGACAAAGTCCCAAGTCATGGAAGTCATAGAGAATGAAATAGAGCATTCTTATAAAATCCATTATGACACCAAGTTGAAAGAACTGAAAATCCTGTGGAGCCCAAGATTAGATGTGGAGGAAAGGGTCCAAAATCAATAATAAAAAACTCACTAAAGAGTAAAATCTTATCTATGGGTATATATCACAGACACAACTAAAATGGGGAATCATTAGCTCAAGATAAAGCTATTGGGGACTGTACAGACTGGACATAGGACCCTTCTTGCTGCCCTTGCAAAACATCAGGTGTCATCAGGGAGTATAAACAGGAATTTTGGGGTAAAACAAGGCCATTATTGTTGCAAAGATCAGTCTGACTCCAGAGAAAAGCAAGACAGCAGAGGGATAGAGAGCTGATCCATGAGAACACTGTGAATGGAGTGAGATTCATCAGCATTTTGGGAAGAGAGAGACGTGGTGGCCTTTGGAGAAATTGGTGGTTGCTACAAGGGAGGTGCTTGACGTCTTTTCATGTCCCTGGGGCAGATAGAAAAGAAACCACATCTGCATCAGACCGACAAATTCAGCAGCAAGCCCAGTGGAGGCTCCATCCCAGGACCAAAATGCCTCTCCAAATGAACCATTCCTCCCAAAATCCACCTAATCCAACTATCAAGTCACTGCTGGCTTTTCTTTCAGCGCAGTGCTGTGCTGCCATCTTCATCGCCCTCCTCTTCACTCGTTTTTGGCTGATCAGTGCCCTCTATGCTGCATGGTGGTTCATAGACAGGGAGAAGCCCAGCAAGGGCGGGCGGCGGATCCACGTCTTCCGGAACTGCGCCGTTTGGAGGTACATGAGGGACTATTTCCCCGTCACGGTAAGTGCTGCCGGTCCATCGGCCCTTCAGCGCTCCAGGGACCAGCTTTGTCCTTGGAGTCTGGACACAGTCTGGGGCCAGCAGTCATGGCGTGGGGCGCTGGGAGCTTGGTGTTGAAGGATAACCTTTCCAGCTCCCACATTATTCAAAGACCCAGTAACAAACGGGGATTACCATTTTTGCAAACCGCATGCTTCAATCACCTCGCTTTTCCACACCTATTTAATCTTGCTGCATTCCAGCTGCTAGGGAAATCTCACCTTTGTTTTCCATGTCTATATTGCAACATTCCTGCCCTTCAGGTTGCTCAGAATTTACTCAGTGGGCATAGGGCCAAGTTTTAACCAAAATCCAAGAGTTCTTGGATGGTCTGCAATGTCAGTATCCCATTTTGCTGAGGAGGGGGATGGATGGGTAAAGCTGGGGGTGAACTGGGCAGTCTCAGAGAACTGCTGTTCTCTTGAGAAGGACTTCTGTGACATTCTCTGATTTACTTAATGTGTGTGGCTGGCCTTTGCCCTTATTCTTTTATCTGGTGTCCCGTTGTCATGGTATGGATGCATGGAGCTGTCGTTATAGAGCATGACACAGCACAAAGTACCACAACTCCCTCAGAAGCATGCAAGAGAGATTTATTATAGCAACGTGTTGCTTTTATACTCTTTCAAGATATTTACATTCACTCAACATACACATTCACTGTCTATTGGTTATAAGAAAGAAACAAAGTTCTCAGTGGTTGATCAGGGAGCCCACTGAGCTAGAGTCTGTATCTCTTAACTTTCTCTCCTTCATCACGTCTCCATGGTGACAACATTGGTGTCTTCCTCAGGAGAGATACAGGGCTTTCCTTATCTTCAGAAGGCCTTTGCAAGCTCACAAGAACAGCACAGAATGTCTTTCCTACATGGAGCAGCAGCAATCCTGCCTCAGACCTGTTACAAGTTGGAACAAATCTGACCAATGCAGGAGAAGAGCTCATGGGTTGGGCAAGGAAGAGAGCTTCAAGGATAGACCAGGCAGTGGGAATTTCTAAGATAATTCCTTTAGGAATACATTGACTGTTGAGAGAACTCAGATGGGATGCACCCAGCTGTCAGAGATCACCAGGAGTCAGAAGCTGAGTGCTGCAGGCTAGGATAAAGAAGTTGGGAGCCCAAAAAGCCAAAGAACACACCAGCCTAAAGGAAAAAATAAGAACCCAGCCTAAGAGTCCATCCTGCATAGAGTAGGGCCTGGGATGAGTCCATCCTGAATGGAGTAGGGCCTGGGATGAGTCCATCCTGAGTGGAGTAGGGCCTGGGATAAGGATTAGGGGGGGCCAGAGCAAAGTGAGGATCAGAGATTACATGCTCATGCCCATCAGCTTTGCTGCTCAAACAGAAATAACCCTCTTTTCTGTTCTCATGAGATCACACCTGGACTACTGTGCACAGTTATGGAGTCTCCATCTTAAGAAGGTTAAATGGCACTTCTGGGGCAAGTCCAGATGAGCCCATAAAGTCAGTGAGGGGACTGGAGCACCTGCCACTGGAGACAGCAGAGAAAGTTGGGGCTGTTTACCCTGGAGAACATTGTGAGGACACAACACAGCACCTTCCAGTATCTGAGGGGCCCTACAGGGAAGATGGAGAGACACTGTTCATCAGAAACTATAGTGATGAAACAAGGGGAAATGGTTTCAAACTGTAAGAGAGTAGATTTAGATGGGATATTGGGAAAAAATTCTTGGCTGTGAGGGTGGTGAGGCTGTGGTACAGGTTGCCCAGAGAAACTTTGGCTGCCCCATCCCTGAAAGTGTCCAGGGCCAGGTTGGACGGGGCTTGGAGCAACCCAGTCTAGTGGAAGGTGCCCATTCCCATGGCAGGGAGTGGAATTTTAAGGTCCCTTTGATACTGAAATCAGCCAGAAAATGAACTTTCTAATGCAATTTGAAGTGTTAGAAGGCAGGCATTCTTTACCTGTGCAGGACACATTGCAAGAATGTCTTGTTTAATCCAGTGTGTGGGGGGAGGCTTTACAACATTATAATCATATATATTCATTAAAGTGTGTCTCCTAGCTAATACATAAACATCACTTTTCCTAGAACTAATTTGCATGCAACTTCCTCCTACAAGAAATCATTTTATGTTCCTGGAAGGTCCTCTAAAGGGATCTCTGGTGATCCTATTCAGTGAATATTTCAATTTTAAATGTGACCTTTCCTTGAACCTTTTCTTTGGGCATGTGCTGTTGCTTCTTGTTACCTAACTTGCAAAAAAAACCACTGTAGCCCTCTTTATCTGTTCTTCCACTGGTAAGCAACATTTATCATCCAGTGTGCATACCTTTACATCCTTTTATCTTTGTTTGTAGTTAGTCTTTAAGCTCTATTCAGCAACTTCTAAAGAACTGAAAATTTCTATTCTCTATGTTATTTATCACATTGCAACCCAAACCATAAAGTAATTAAATTATTTATGTGACTGCAGTAATTATATGCAGTATATATTCTGTAAACTATTTGTGGCTCTAAGCCACCACTTAGTGAAGAGCTGGAGCAACATCTCTGCTGAAATTTAGGTGCCAGCTCAGGCAGCAGTGACCCTGTCCCTTTGTAAAGAACATGGAACCCCACTCCTGAATGCCTCGCTGTGTTCCGTGTCTGTCCTTCCTGGCAGGAGGACAGTAACACCAGCAGAGGGAGCACGGTATGGGGTTTGGCCGCAGCTCCCTCGGTGGGGACTCAGAGGGCTCCATGGAGCCTTCCTCCCCACTTCTCTGGGACAAAGCAGAGGAAGTAACACAAAAGGACTGCAGAAAAATTTAAAAGATATTTAATACAGAGAGCATTATAGCCAAGCAATCATGTAATACTGTTTCTCCAAAATATTTTCTCAGTCATAGAATTATGGAATCATTAAATGTTTTGGGTTGGAAGAGACCTCAATGATCATGCAATTCTAAATCCCCTAACATGGGCAGGGACACCTTCCACTTAGACCATGTTGCTCCAAACCCTGATCAACTTGGTCTTGAAAACTTCCAGGCATGGGACAGCCACAGCTTCTCTGGGCAACCTGTGCCAGTGCTTCAGCATCCTCACAGCCAAGAATTTTTGCCCAATATCCCATCTAACCCTGTTCTCCGTCAATGGGAAGCCATTTCCCATTGTCCTGTACCTCCAGGCCCTTGTCCAAAATCCCTCTCCAGCTCTCTTTGAGCCCCTTTAGCATGGGGCTAAAGCCACAGGCAGGGGCTCTAAGGTCTCACCTTTTCTTCCTCAGGCTGAACAACCTCACTTGCCCAAAGTCCCAGCACAAGGGACACAAGGAAGTGACATCTGAGGACAAGGGCTGGGTTGATATCCAGGACTCTGGACTGTATTTGTGTACAGACAGAGTTTGTTAAGCCCTGGAGAATTAGGCGTTCTGGGAAGATTAAGTATGACTCCTAATCCTACCAGATCCCAGCAGCAAATTTAGCATGGTCAAGTGCTTGGAGGCAGCAAGTGCTGCCTGCTGTCTTATTTTAGGAAACAGCTTTAAACACTGCTTTTAAGGGATCCCTGTGCATGTTTGCTGTCGTGGAAGCATAGAGAGGTTGGGATGAGCATCTGTTTTCTGGGCAGTGTGAATCTGCAGTGTGCTGCAGTACCTGGAGCCTGCCAGTGCTGAGCTGAGCCAGGCCACTGCAGTGTGTGCAGGACGCACCTTCTGCTGATACCACGCCTGCACAAGTACCACTTTGGTGCTGGATTTATCCCCCTTGGAACTGACTGCAATTTAATTAATGATTTGAGAATCAGTTAGGCAAGACCCAAATGAGCTTGAGCATTTTGAAGAGTGGGATGAGTGAGAAACCAAGTCAGGATCCAATGCATTGCCCAGGGAAATATTTCTGCTTAATTTTCCTGCATTTTAAACATATTCTAATTTATTTATTTATTTATTTTAAAATATACCCTCATTATAGTCCTTCAATTGGCCTAGAATTGTTTCAAAATCATGTAGATGTGGCACTGTGAAACATGGTTTAGTGGTGTGCTGTGGTGTGTTCTTAAGTTCGTTAGTTTGTGCCCCCCATTTTCTGTATTACTTCCTGCTGCTACCCTGCCAGTTAGGTTGCTGTGGAAATGAAACTGCTCCTCCCTTGGTTTCTCTTATAAAGTGAAAGTTGTTTCCTCCTTGGGGTCAGTCAATCACTCTTTTTCTCCTCCCAGGTTTCGAGAATTTTCTTTTCTCTGGGAGGTATGGTTGGCTGTAGCCTCGGAGCCCCTCCTATGATTTATAACAGTTGGCTACTTTAGTATATCAGTTATGTTTCGTACCTCCAAATATGTATTTCTATTGGATAGCCAGGTTTCCCTGCCTTCTTCCCCCCTTTTCCCTTAAAACCCTCTCCTGCCCCTTGTTCGGGGCCATTTGCTGGGTGTTTCCCCTCCTTGTTGGTTCTTCTGTAATAAACCGACAGTTTACCCCCAGCAAGTGGTCGCCTCCTAATTCGTCTCTCACCGCGCTGCTCCGAGCTATCCCCCAGCTCAGCCCGAGGCCAAAAGACGCCGAGGGGGGCTGTTTTCTGATGCGCAGGGGCCCTGGCCTTCGCCCCTCACCAGATAGCCGGATTCCAGGGCCGTTCACGCCCCCGCGCAGTGGTGGCCTTGGCAGTGCTGGGGTAATGGTTGGACTTGATGGTCTCAGAGGGCTTTTATGACCTAAACAAATCTATGATTCTTCAATTCCAATACATGACTGAGCTCAGCTGCATTATAATATGGAAAATATACCAAAAAGTTTAAAATTAATCTATTTGAGCTAGAGTATGTCTGAACAGATAACCTGTGATGCCTGCTGTGTTGATGTTGCCTACAGAGTGATTTTAGATGCAGTGGACTGCTTTATCTATGCTATGTTCAAAAAGCAGTCAGTAATCTGTCTGCTGCTGCCCAAACCCTATCTCCATTTTCATAATCCCTTCCTCATAATTTATCAGTGCATGTTTACAATGAAGGATACACC